AACTAAGAGGCTGCTACAAAGAAGAGGAGTGTCAACCTATTCTCCAAAGCACCTGAAGGCAGGACAAGAAGCAATAGATGGAAAATAATTAAGGAGAGGAGCAACCTAAGGAGAAATTTCCTAACAGTGAGAAGATTAAATCAGTGGAATGGCTTGCCTTCAGAAGTTGTTGGTGCTCCATCACTAGAGGTTTTCAATAAGAGATTGGACAGCCATTTTTCCAGAATAATATAAGGTCTCTTGCCTGAGCAGCAGGTTGGACTAGAAGACCTCCAAGATCCCTTCCAACTCTATAATTCTGTTATTCTGAAATCTGGTGGCCTCCATATATTTTTAATTTTGTCTCCCATCAATACTAGCCAATATGGTCAATAGCAATGTTGAGTATCATATGCCAAAACTTTTCAAATGTATTCATATTTAATAAATAGCACTTTCACCCATTTACAAATGCATATTTTTAAAGATATGCAGTGTGTTTGCTTTCAAAAATATGCATGTTAAAATACATTTTCTCAAAATATGAATATTAGTAGCCTTATTATGGTCATTGGTGTAGAGAGTATAAAAATGATGGAAATATGCAAGAATGGTTACCTAGGCAAAAAGAGCTTAAACACATCTAAAGTCCTGAGTGGTAAGACAATATCTGGAAGTGATTCAGGCAGATGCCTCCCTGATTCACTGGAGTATAAGTAGGGGAGCAAGTACAGCACAATCAGATTTGCAAGAATTCTATTATTATAGCCAGTTTCAATAAAAGCATTTTTAGTGTTCCCATGGAGTTGATTTTCTGACCTGATCTTCCTAGAGGGGCTGACATTGAGCAGCATTAACTATGAATATTTACATGCATCTTGGTATACAGAATGATGTCTCAACTTTCTGAGATGCGGGGAGATTTCATTACTACTTTATTTTAATCCATCAGTTAGTTTAGATCATCAGATTTCACCAGGGGTGGGTTTCAAAAAATTTTACTACTAATTTTTTAGTGGGTGTGGCTAGATGGGGAGGTATGTGACTAAGTGGGCGTATCAACTTGACATCACTCATGCATACTCAGTCACATGGCCCCTTCACCAAGCCATAAACTACCCAGTAAGAAAAAAATGTTTTTGTCCTCCTCGGCCCACAGGAACACTCTGCAGGTTTCAGCAGGGCTGAGGGAAGGAAAAAATGCCCCCCATTTGTGAAAATTTTTCTCTTCCCCCAGCCCTGCTGAAGCCTGCAGAGTGCTTCTGGAAGCTGGGAGAAGGGGGAAATGCCTCTGCCCACCCCTCACTCAACCTGCTTCTCAATCTCCCTTTCGCCTTCACCCAAAGCCTCACGTCGCACCAGGAGGCTGAAGTTGGAATTTTTTCCCCCTGTTGCCTACTTTGGTGACAGGACTGTTTCTCTTTGCCTCCTTTTCCAGATAATAAAACTTGCAGGCAACGGCAGTGGGGACTGAGGAAACCAGTTCGGGGGTGTAGCCAGGCTGCCATTACTACCAGTTCAGAAAGGTACACCAGATTTTTACTACCTATTCGGGCGAACCGGACCAAATAGATAGGAACCCATCTCTGGATTTCACAGTAGTTCAACTGATCCTAAGAACAGGCCTCAACAGCTGCCAAAATGAGATATTGTTCTTGGCACTACTAAACTGGGGCGGGGGGGACACTGAATTACATAACAAAAAGCGTAATAGAACTGAACAACCCCCAAACATGTGGCATCAGTTGTGGCCACAGCAAATATTCAATACTTACTGAATTATCATGGGAATCAGGCATTTATTTATTATATTGGACTGCATTTCACTGTCAGCAGCTCAGAGTGATACATACATTCCTATACTCATGTGACCAAAATTGTGGGAATGAGAGATTGGTCCAAAGCTATCCATTTAACTTCACAGTTGAGGGAATGCTAGAATGTGAGAAGAATAAAATTAACAAGCAATGACTCACTAAATTGGAAATGGAACTAGATACGCTTCTCATTTTGGTTGATCTTAATAACTACTGCAATAGCTGCTGGCACAGAAAATAATTATTTGCCTGATGGTCAGGCTACTCAGAGTTTATCAGAATAACACATATTTTATAAAAGCAGAACCAGTTGCCAATAGTCTCCTGGGTTCAGTTCAAGGTGCTGGTTATAATCTATACACTAAAGCTATATGCAGCTTGGGCTCTTGTTATATTTGGCAGCTCCTTCTCTGGGTAGAATTTGTTCAATTATACTATCTAACCAAGACAGGACATTTATCTCTAGAGACATGCCAGAGGAAACCTGGAGAATGATATTCTTAACAGTAGCATTTGGTAATACTTCATTTCTTGAAATGAGGCTAGCTTCTACTTTTTTATGCTTTAGGAAGCAGATTAAAATCATTGCCATTTGCAGAGCATTGGTTGTAAGCCACTTAAAGTCATTCATGCAAGGCACCTAAATAAACAAAGAAATAAAGTTACTGCCCAGCTATGGATTTTAGATTTATTTTTATTTCATGAATTAACACAGCTCTGTATTGCTTTACATTGAGTCTGCGATGTTTTAAATAAAAAAAAAATCTGGGCAAATAAGGGCAACAGGGAAAATGGCTATGTATCAGTGGTGGGTTGCAGGCGGTACGCCCCAGTACATGAACTTCCCACAATTTACATATAATTTACTATTGCATCTTGGGCAGACACAAAGTCACACTCACACACACAAAATCACATAGGTTTTATGGCAGCGCAGCATCTGGTTCATCTCCTAATCTCTCTTGTGCTAACCAATAAATGTGAACTACTCACTCTTAAATAAATGGAGCTTTTTCCATATACAATATTGTGATGGGAGATTGTGGGTGAGCTTGGAAAAGATTGGAAGGGAAAATAGATACAAAACTCCAGACATTGAAGATGGATTATTCGTTTCAGAAAAGGTGGCTCAAGCCAAGTAGCAAATCTTTTTGAATGATTTGCCATAATTAACTTGCTATAAATGAGAGAAGGGATTTCTTTTACAATTGATGAGACTGGTGTCAAGCCCCATAAAACTAGGTGAAATCAAGGATCTGAGAACTATACAGATTTCAGTAAAGTACCTTTAATGCTAGTTTGATGGGAAATATATAATATACTAAATGTCTCCTCTCCATTCCTTTCCCAGCCTTCTCATATTGTCTCATAGTTGTACCAATACTCCCATCATCACCATGACATTTGGGGTGAACTTTCAGCTTATCATGGTATCTAGGCAACTACAATGTTTAATGTTCATCCATTGTGATCAAAGAGGACCTTGACTGCAATGTTTAGAATTATAAGAAATTAGGTCTAGAAAATAGATATAAGTCCATTTGAGAAGATTGGAAAAATACAGTACATATGCAGGTTTAAAAATCACAACAGCTCTTATATGTTGTACCCAGAAATACATGCATGAATCATGTGAATCAATCCTAAAGAATCATCTGGCTCAGTAGTACATGTGAACTTACCATAGCCTGAAAAATGGGAATTTTCCAGATGCATGTAAACTATTGCCACCAGAATGCAATTCTCCAGTTTACTGCTTATTTTCATATAGGCAAATGTTTATAAACATCTGTTTAAAGATACTTGTCATTTATGCTGCAAAGGAAATTCCCTGATTTTGGTGAAAGGAAATAACATAAAGTATTTTTAAGAGCTTCTCAAAAACCCTAAGCTGTTTGATGTAAACTGGTTGAAAATGTCAATTTACTTATATTTGCCAACATTTATTGATTAATAAATTAGATACTTGCAAGATCAGGTGCAACTCAAAACTGCAAGATCTAAAGAACTAAAGAACTAAATCGGAGGATTGTGTGCTTTCAGTTTTTCATTTTGTGTTATAGTTCCATTTACTCCATTGGAAAAAGGCATATTTTACTTTCTAGTGATTACCAGAGAATATTAAAAGTATTCTTTTTAATTACTAAAGATAAATTCCATGGAAGCTAACTTCAAAATTTCCTCACAAAACCATAATATTTGTGGAAAATGTTTTTGAAAAAGAGGCTTCAAAATTATATTAAATTTCTAAAAGTATTTTAAATCTTTGAAACTACTGATTATATGATGAAAACTTCAAGTACCCCCCCAGTCTGCTTTGCATCATATTTCTTTGAATCTATAGATCATATTTTAAAACGTCTTAGAACTTGAGTGCTTTTTTGTGGCACAACCACAAACAAGCTTCCCATAAGCATTTCAATGGAATGTTTCCTGGAGCAAAATCCAGGAATTTAGACCTTCAGATTTTTATATAGTCATTATTAATACTTCTTCCTCAAATTTACCTATTTTCCTGAAATCATTTATAAATTTCTGATGCATCTTTTCTATGCCATGCAAGCTGAAGGAGGTATGAACCCACAGATCTAAAGAGTTTGATCAACACCACCAAACTGAAGAAGGATGGACCTATTCTGATTTTTAGCCAAGGGATGGGCCCCTTCTAAGTTGGGGGTACATATTTAACCTATAGCAAACCATCAGAAATACGTATCTTCAGAAACATATCAATTTACAGAGCTACAGAAGACACTGGTACCATTTTGAAACACAGAGGAACAATGGAAAATGTATCCTGATATGTTGTTATTGAGGAAGGAATATGGGAAATAGCCTTCAAGAAGAAATTTAAGAACTGTTAAGTAAACATCAGTTTAGTTCTGGGAAAGAAGAGGGTGAAAAAGAAACTCAATATAACCCCATCTTGATTCTATTTAGTATAAGACAGAGTGCAAAGGAAAGCTCTGGCAGACTTTAAGAATTCTGTTATTATATCCTATATCAAGAGTACAATTAATTCTTTTATTATCTGTTCTTTGACCTAGCCAACCTCAGAAATGCTGACAATATTCCATTTTATTCATTAACAAGGTTCTTATCTAGTTTACTCCCCTTCTACATGCCCTATTCTTCCATACATTTTATTTCTTTGTCTCTCTATTTCCATCACAGATTCTAAAGTATTAATGTCTAATTTCTTACTTGATATCATCTTCATTGGCAAATATGATGACAGCTCGAGCATGGGATGTTTCCAGAAGGCGCCGAATGATCTTATCAAATTCTCCCTCTTTAGGTTCCCGGGGAATCTTGACTGATTGTGCCACACACACGCTCCCTGTGATTAGAGAAAATAGCATGATTTGAGAAGTCTTTAAACAGTAGTGACAAACATGGATAGATTAAAGAAAGGCATGAGACAATTTTGCCATGGCCCAAAATAACATTTTCATGTGGTTTCATCTGTGGGTTTTATGCCTGTATCTGTAATTTTAGTGAGGATAAAAACATGAAACCAAATTATAAACATGTCTCAACAAACTTCCTTGTTAACTCTTCATTTATTTAAAAGTGGAAAGAATGTTGTGGCCCACCAGCAGCCAGTGGAGCTGGCAGCAGATTAGGGCAGTGAGGAGGTTAAGGAGGAACATGGGCCAGTCCTGGAGTCTGGGGAAGGCTCTGATGAGGGCTCTGTGTGGGAAGCAGAGAGGAGTATGCCAGTTATCAGCTCCCTTCATTCAGGGTCAGACATCAGTGAGGCAGACAAACAGCTGGAGCCTGTTCCCAGTGTGCGCACCCGCAGAGTTGCCAGACGAAGGGAACAGCTAAAGAACAGGGATTGACTTGGGAGTAAGGCCACAGGTAGATGATGAACGCCCCTCCCAGAGGAAATAAAAGAGGAGTGAAAGGAGAATGGAGTTTGCAGGAGACAATTAGTTCACTTAATTGGTTCATGACTCTCCGAGACTCCTTGCCAAGTTTTGCAGATATCAGCCTGTCAGCTCTCCAAGCCAGATAAGGACTGTGATTGTGTGACCTGACAAATGCGTGCATGACAAAAGCGTGCCGACATAACCGCGGCGAGAAAACCGTGATGTCATAAATGCCCCCACAACAACGCGCCAACAAAACCGTGCCCACAAAAGCGTGATTTAAGTTAAGGTAAGGGTTCAGGGTTAGGTTTAGGGTTGGGTTTAGGTTTAGGGTTAGGGTTATTAGGTTGTTATTACTTGTTTGTTGAAGGCACACTTTTGTTGGCGCACTGTTGTTGGCACGCTTCTGCGCTCATTCATTGGTGCAATTTTGAACTCACGGTTTTCTTGCCGCAGTTTCGTCGGTCACGCTTTTGTCAAGTGAGCATTTGTCGGTGAACCCGTGATTGTAACTCCTCCCTTGAAAGACTTTGCTGAATGCGAATGAGTAGAATCCCCAGTAAATTAATAAAAGGGGTTTTTGTTGGGACAAGGAGTTTGTGTCATGCTCTTGGGAAGCCCAGGTCAGAACAAGAACATCCTATTGCATTTTTTATGATATGTGCCTAAATGACGCAATGTCAAATGGCTTGGATGAAACATTACTACACAGTGCAGTAACTATTTGGGCTCTTATTTGAAGCTTACATATTTTGTTTATATCTGTATATGATTATACTCTACCATATAAACTGACTTTTATTTATATATAGTATAAATATATAACACAAGTAGAAACACAAAAACACATCACAAAATTACAAAAGAATAAAAATGAATAATAAATAAATCAGAGATGCCAATTCCAATCTCAATATGTAAGCATATCTATCTTTGTCTCTCATGGAGCGCTTTCTTCTACAGAAAACCATTTTTAATTTATAGTTGTTTTATTGCTCTTAATTAATTACATCTTTATCTTACACTCCCAGAAGAACAAATACTGGAAACAAAAACAGAGATTCTTGATTTTATACTTCTATGCATGATGCTCCTTTTATATAAAACATTTCTGTGGGAAACTGATCTGTATTCTAGATTAAGCAATATCTACTTCTCTCCCCATTTTCATGGTCTTTATTGTTTCAGTTTCTTTGTTTCACTACCCTTTTCTCTAAGCCTCCTCCTCCCTTCTTAGCCACTATGGTTTTGTAGTACTTGAAATCCAAGTCTTCAAAAGGTGTTTCAGTGCATATGGAAACCCAAACTTAGCATCTAACTTCAGGAACTCTATCTTTCTCCATCTGATCAGTTGGAAAACAGAAAATATGACTTACAAACCCATCCCATTTTTTCAATGTGTTCACTGATATATTTATTTCCTTTTGATACCCTCTAGTGACCAACCTTCAAAGTCATCTTATCATCAGATCATCATCATCAGATGTAAATACAGAAAGTTTCCTACAGGAAGGATTCTATATAGTTAATTTCAATGTTCCAACTCAAGTCCCTATGAGTCTTTAATCATTTATACAATCCTAAAATGTTTACCCTTTTGCTGTATATTCAAGGGGAGAGGGAAATCTTGTAAATCTTAAACTTTCAATTGAAATTTCTTTCTTAAAAGATTGAAGAAAAACTCAATGAATATGATCAAACTTGCAATTTGGAAAGCTCTTAATCTTTAAAAACAGTAAAACAAAAAAAATTAAACTCCAACATGATTAATAAGTGAGTTTTGGTCAAATGTTTAGCCCATAAATAGGCCACATTAACAGCTCAGTGGAATCCTGCACCTCCCAACAAGTGATCACAAACACATCAGTTTCTGCGGTTTACTCCATTCACACACAAAAATGTTCAGAATATGTATAAGTGATATCAAGATCTTTTCTTTCTCTGGAGAGATTTGGCAGTCTGGATTCAGCAATCATAAACCATTTTCGGCTATAAAATCTCCAAGTGTCTGCATGATGTCAGTTTGCCATTTCCTTATTGGAACTCTTCAAGAACAATAGCCTTGAATTCTCCCATGTTTGGACCTCATTGTGGATGGAGGAAATCAATGGAAAACAGCTAATCTGCAAAGTCTATGGCGCTCTAGCACTTCAAGGGGAAATCTGGGCACAGTAGAAAAGTGGATGTATTTTCAAAGTGACTGGAAGGTGTAAATAAAAAGTCATAGGCCTGATCTATGAAGGGCAATAAACCTAGTGTCCAGTTTGTAAGATGATTATATGGAGCAGAGAAAGCCAGGCGTAATTGCCAACAGCAAGGGGCAGAGGGGCTTCCTGACAATAATGACAAGGTAATTGTTAAGGAGGCCAAGAACACAGTTTGACGTTCCTGAAAAGCATGTAAGGCCACTGTATCAAGGTAAAGTTGGAAAACATTTGGCAGCTGGAGCAGGTAATAACTGTAGGTGGCCTGAAATGGTACTACCTGAGTAGGGACACAAACTGAGTTAGAAATGAATACAGCCATAGATGAAATGTCAAAGTAATTGTTTTAGTTTTTCTAACAGAAAAAGTATTGTTCTAAAATGGCATTAGTCTTTACTCTTCTGAGTTTCACCATCAGACTTAGGTCTGGAGGAAGAGATTTACATGCAAAAGCTAAAGGATGAATAGAGATGTACATGCAAAAGCTACAAGAGTACATGTTCCCAGAAAAACCATAATAAAGAAAACAAAAATTCATCTAAAAGTTATATATCCAAAGCTAGTAACTTGATACAATCAGTGCAGTGAAATCAGGACCAAAATGTTGTACATCCAGATAGCATAGACAGATATGAAGGCAGAAAAATATCTACTTTTTCCAGGAGCAATCTTTATTTTTAGGAAATATTGTAGCCCTAATAATCCAATACAGGTAGTGCCTTACTTATGATCATAATTGGAACCAGAATTTATGTTGCTAAGCAAGGCAGATTTTAAGGGAGCCGTGCCCAATTTTACAAACGTCTTTGCCACTATTGATAAGTGAAACACTATAGTTCAAAATGAATCATGTGATTCGTTGTTGTGAGTTAGGGGTGGCTTTAAACTCACAGCTCCAACTTGAAGAATAGATGGTAGCTGCAGCCAAGAAGGCTTTTGCCCAGATAATATCTATTGTGCCAGTTGTGCCCATTCCTGGATCAGGACAATCATTCATGTCCTAGTCACTTCAAGAATGGACTATGCAATGTGATCTATATGGGACTACCCTTGAAAACCCCTAGAAAACCAGATGGGCTGGAATATGGCAGTACAAGCAGTAATGGGCATCTTACAGTACACTTGTGTGACACTACTACTCCCCAAGCTGGCTCCCTATCAGCTTCCAGGTATGATTCAAAATCCTGATTATCACCTATGACACAAAACTTTCTTACTTTATGGACCACCTATTTCTGATTATTTCCACCTGTCAGCTAAGATCTAGCAAAATCTTCTCAATTAAACAAGGTCATCTGGTAGGACATCAGAAGTCTGCAATTTCTATTATGGTACCTACATTGTAGACTATCTACCCAGAAATCTAGAACTTCAACTCTGATGATATTGTAGAAGGCACTGAAAACCTGGTTATTCTCACAGGCCTAGGGTGGAAGGGTGGTGAGTCCCCATAAGATTTTATATTAATTGGTATGGTTTCTTTTCTAGATATACTTCTTTGTTCTCCCCTCTAGAGTGAATGATGTAAAGTACCCAGAGTCACTCTAAAACAAACATTTTAAACATAGGTAAATAAAGTAAATAAAATAAAAAGACCATCAAAAATTATTAAAAAATATAATGGAAAGGGTGATTGGAAATCTTTACAAAGATGGGGTATTAACCAATCTGAAAACTGTTACCATATATTTAAAAACACGTAGATATTCATCATCCTCCTTCATCTGAAAATGATCCAATTTGGTGAAATATGCATCATCTGCTATAAACCCAAGAGATAAAAATGAAGGAAAGAAGGTAGTGATCCCTAATGTCAACTGACTTCAGGAGCCAATAATGATGGATAATGTGCAGAATGCCAACCTTCTTGACAAGAAAAAGATAGGAACATTGGCAAGGAGCAAGATAAAACCTTTTGATAAATTCCCCTTGAGATATTCCTTCAGGCAATTAATTCTTCCTTTGATGTGGCATAGTGCTGATCTGAGAAAATCTGAGCTTCAGGAATAAATTTGTCACATAACCAATGAGGGGTCAGGATCTCTGCTTTCCATTTGCCCTTTCCAAATACATTAGCTTAGATCACAGTTGTGGCAGTTACCAAAAGAGGAGGTACTTGAAGAGGGATGGGGACTGGTGGATGATAGTTGAGGATAAGTTGTGGTGTTTTATTGTATTCTGTGATACATCCAGAGTGAAACATCTGGTCATAAATAATTTCATTTCTTGCTGGGGCTGGATAGACTGAATAGGCAGACCAT